GACAGGGCAGTTCTTGGAGAAAGGAATTAACTGGTGTGCCCCACTTTGGGCGTAAAGTCAGGGTGACACCTCAGCTGAGTGTAGGACCATGAACATAATAGTAAATACTTCTTTCATTATCAACTCTAGGATATAGCTTGTGATCTGGAAAGGATTCAACATTACAGTCAAGACTAGAGAAGGAAGGAACAAAACAAGGAAGGAAGGAAGGAAAGAAGGAAGGAAGGAAGAAAGGAAGGAAGGAAGTAATGAAAGAAGGAAGGAAGGAAGGATGAAAGGAAAGAAAAGAAGAAAGGTATAAAGGGAGGGAAGGATAGAGTGAGTGAGGAGGGTGGATGGAAGGGCATAGGGCAAGGTATGGAAGGAAGCAGAGGAGGAAGAATGTACGGGAGGGCAGTGAAGGGACAGGGCAAGGGTTGCAAAAACGAGGAACTTGGTGTACCCAGCTCTGAGGATAAACTCAGGTGAAAGTTACCCTGACACAGGAACGCATGAATGGAAAAGTAAAGACTTCTCTTTTATCATCATGTGCAGGATCCAGCTGTCTCCTGGGAAGGACAAAATTTTCAGTGTGGCAGGGAAGGAAAGAAGGCAGGAAGGGAGGGAGGGCAGTGGAGGGTCAGAGAGAGAGGGGAATGAGGATGGGAAGGAGGGCATGTCAGAGGGAAGGCAGGGGAGCAGTAGGGCAGGGGAGAACCACCCAAGGCACAGCAAACATGTTGGAGAAAGGTAGGAACTCAGGTGGGCAGTTTGGGGATAAACTTAGAGTGAGAGCTACCATGGTACTGGATTCCGTGAAACAAGAGTAAGGCATTCTTTCAGTGTGAACTCCAGGGTCCAGCCTGTGCTCTGGAAGTGAAGTAATATTTCACTCAAGGGAACACAAAGAAAGAAGGAAGGCAGCAAGGGAGGGAGGGGTGGAGCAGACGGCAGGGTAAGAGAGGGAAGGGAAGAAGGAGGAGGGGAAGAGAGGGGGAAGGGGAAGTGGGAGGGGAGACGGAGGTCAGAGGTATGGAGCAGAGAGGGAATGATGCAGGCAAGTACTGGGCACCAGTTGTAGAACATAAGGAATTGGGGTGCACAGGTCTGGAGATCACCTCAGAGTACTGGCTAGCATGACCCTGGAGATCATGAATGGAAGAGTAAGACTTCTTACAGGACCACGTCCAGGCGTCAGCCTGTGTTCTGGAAAGGAAATAAAATTTCAGTCACCACTGAGAAAATGAGAAGGAAGGAAGAAACAAAATCAGTAATCAAGTAAAAAGGGAATTTGAAGAAGGAAGCAAGGAAAAAAGGATGGGGAAAAGGCAGGAATTAAGGAGGAAAGGAAAGAAGGGTGGAAGGAAGGAAGAAGAAAGAAAAGAATGGAAGGATGAAGGAATAAAGGGAGTGAGTTTTGGAGGAGGAATATGCTAGGAACAGAGTAGTTATTGGAAAAACGAGGGGCCTGGGGTGCCCAGCTCTGAGGATCAGCGCAGATGACAGCTACACTGACACTGAGCAGCATGAATGAAAAGGACAGCTTTCTGTTTCACATCATTTCCAGGATCCAGCTCTCCTGTGGAAAGTAACATTTCAGTAGGTCAGAGGACAGAACAAGGAAGGGAGGCAGAGGAATTTAGCCAGAGGGAAAAGAACATGAATGGGAAGGAGGGGCTGGCTGAGGATGGAAGGGAGTGGGAGGGAATGGGAGGAGAGTGGAGGGAGGAGGCAGGCAAGGGACAGGCCACTTTTTGGAAAAAGTAAAGAACAGAGGTACCCAGCTTTGGGGATAAACTCAGGTGGCAGGTACCATGTATGCAAGAGTAAGGAATTCTTTCAGTATCAGCTCTATGTTCCAACCTTACACCCGGAAAGGAAGTAACTTCATTCAAGGATAGGGAAAGAATGAACGTAGAAAGGGTGGAACCGAGGAAGAGATGAAAAAGGAGGGACATGAGGGGAGAGCGAAGGATGGAAGGGATGGAGAAAGAGAGGGAAAGCATGCATAGGCCATGGAGGGAGGGATTGAAGTGTGAGGGCATGGTAGGTGGATAGGGAGGCCACGATGGGACAGGGCACCTATAGGAGAAATAAAGGAACTTATGCTCCCCACTTTGGGAGTAAAATCTGACTGACATCTAACCTGACACTAAGACACTAAAGGATGGTCCCACTGTCTGAGCTTGCATCTTTGGACTTCAGAAGCCCTGGCAGTTTGTTGTTTCTCTGAGTCTGAAGGGCCTCTTCAGTAATTCTCTTGATTCCCACACAGGAAGACATTTTGGACCCAGGGCAGTGAAAGAAACCAGTGATATAGGAAGTGAAATGTGTCTGTGAAACAAGGAAAGAGGAAGGCACTTCCATTTCAAAGTGGAAATTTGTTCTCTTTGAGGAGGGCAGACTATTTGCATATGTTCTCAACAGGAGAAGGTTGGAAAAATGAGTTTGTCTGCAGAGCTTGGACTGTGGGGCTCCTCACCTGACAGCACACTTCTTTCATTGAGTGTCTTCCTCCCTGAGGAGAGGAACTCAAAGAAATATTGTGTCCCTTTTCGCATTTACGGTACATGCCAGTGCTCTGATGAAAGGTCCAGGTAGCAAGGATCAGAACACCGACCTGTCCTCATGTTCAGCAGGTGAGCGGCTGTTGAGACCTTTTATCCACAGTTGAGATCCCACTTACAAAGACGGCAGGTGTACTCAGAGGCCTATGAGGTGAATGAATGTAGCCCTGAAGCGAACACTGCCTCAGCCCAATCCTGTATGCAGGGAGGGGATGGCTCAACCTTCCTATTGCTCCAACTGGTTTTCCCTGCTTGGCTGGAGTTGAGAACGGCCAAAAAGGACTGCAGCTATGACCCAAGACCCTCTCTTATACCTGGTGGATTCTGAACTATAAGTCCCAAATGTACTCTTCAGGTAGTACCACAATGAAGCACATATGCCTTGTTTAATTATGCATTTTGAATTGGTTTCATTCTGTAATTGCATTTATATTGCCTCATCTTTATCTTTTCATACTTCTAAATTTATGTGATTTCCAGTTTTCTGAGGGTCTGCTACTGTACATTCATTCCCTTAGCGTATGCAAAAACAAACAGCACAGCTACTGCCCAACTGAGGGACGGGAACACAGATCTCTCCCAAAGCTGTTTAGACTATAGAATGATGACAAGTCTAGAGGGATAATCACCGAAAGTGTGCTTCATGTACTTCACTCTCTAATCACACCTGCTTCAACTGAAAGAGAACCTACACTCATGGAATTCATACAGAGACAAATATCCCAGAGTTCTAACATGGTGTGTATAGTCAGCAATAACCAACCTAAGCTTAAAAGCTGTAGGGAATATACAAGATGTAGGACCCTGAGAATTAAACTCAGCCAAAGATAGCACATCAATAGTCCAGAACAAATTGTCATGAGAGGGCTGCTCACTAGGAAGACCCTCCTGTAAATGTGGGAAAAGATACCATCTCAACAAATATACAAACCTCAGCCTAAAACACGAAAATACACAGAAAAATCCCACAACAGTGTTACTCCACAAGATGTAACTTCCTAATAAATTAAAAGATCCTAAAGTGAAAGAGTAACTGAGGTGGGGGAAAACGTGAAAGGAAGGAAGGCAACAGTAAAGAGGTACAAAAGTGTTATACTACTGGTTAGCTAGTGCAAAGAAAGGTTTGTCTTAGTATCAATTGTTGAATTTTTTATACCCACGTCTTGTACTCTGAGTAACATTTTTGAAGTTAATGCACAGTGTATTAACTATTATTACTCTCTTATAATTGTGATTTGAAATTTCTTGTTCTCTTTAAAATAAAAGAGAAAAAAGTCCATTGAAGTATTTTTTATAATTCTTTTTTTTTTGGTTTTTCTCCAGTACCGGGAACTGAACTCACGACCTTGCGCTTGCCAGGCAGGCGTTTTTGCCGCTGAGCTAAATCCCCAGCCCCTATAACTCTTAACAGACTTCTATGCTCATTAGCACATATTTGCAGTCATTAATATTTGCATTTCATATATGGAGTTCGTACTTGTACATTCAGTCTTGACAGAGTGCAGAATTTTCAGAGTGGAAAAAGGAAATAGGAAATCTGTGTGACCACTGGAGCAAAGCAGGTGAGGCAGAAATGTTGCTTGGTTTAGCCAAGAACTAGGGGGTTGCAAGATGCATGTGCCAGACAGGTATTAGGAAAAGGCCAATGTTCTCCTGGTCACCAAGGACCTGCATGACTGCAGCAGGCAATAGACACTGGGAAGTGGGGAGGGCTAATGCACCGTGTGATTCGGTGGCCATGGTGTGGTCATGTGTACCAGAGAGTTGAACACCTGAAGCTGAGAAAAGGCTGCACATCAGTTGGGACCAGTGTTTGTGTATTGGCCTCCCTGTGCCTCTCTCCTCAGAGGTGTCAGGGTAGATATTTGTGATATCAAGGCCTTCGCAGAGCTCTCATTGGCTGACAGAGGCTGAGTGATGCAACAAAGGATGGGTGGGGTTTCCACAACTGCAGCAGACCTCAGGAGAGGAAGCAGGAAGCTGGGCAGGGGAGAAAGGTCAGAAGGCTTAGCCATGAGTGAGGAAATCCATGAGGTACAGGGCAACTGGGTGGTCACTTTGGTAAAAACCCAGAAGCCCATGGTTAATCAGGAAGTGCCAGAAAACAGCTTGGAAAGGAAGAAGGAGGCAGAGACCGGAGCTGACTCACAGCAAAAGGAAGCAGAGGAGGTAAGATGACCATTCTTTGTCCTTTTGGCTGTGTCTTGCTCTTGGTTGATCCTGGGTGTCTGCCCGTGATCCCTCGACCCTGGCCCCTGGGCCCTGGCTCCTGGCCCCTGGCACCTTGCACCTCACCCCTGATCCCTGGACCTTCTGCCTTCTTGCACCCAATCCTTTCTCCTCTCAGGGTCCTTCTGCACTGCAGGGAATGGGCAGAGCAGGGCAGAGAAGGGCAGCTTCCTCCAGGCCCACTCTAACTGCTCTCTCCTCTCCTTTCCTTCCAGAGGCAGAAAGTCACCAAGGAAGTTCTACCAGTGCTGGAAGTTCTATCAGAGTGCAGAGAGACACCAGAAGCACTCAGTATTGGTGCTCTGATACAGAGGAAAGAAGAAGAAGATGGAAGAAGAAGACCAAGGTGAGGAGAAGCCCATGCTTCAGGTCCCGACTCCTGAGAGCCCAGTGGAGACCGCCAGACGAACAGGAGCCATACCCTGCAGGACTCCCACAGCTGTGCAGATGAAGACTCCAGGAGCTGTGCAGAAGACTCCAGCAGTTGTGCAGAAGAAGACTGCAGGAGCTGTGCTTAAGACTCCAAAGAGCATTCAGGTGAGAAGTCAGCTGAGCAGTCAGGTCAACCTTCAAGGGTCCAAATCTAGACAGTTAAGCACAGTGCAAAAGCTAAAGGAGGATTCTGCATTTCTGCACGTTCCCTTTCGGGGAATGAATGGAAGGTAGGGGAGAGAAAAGGGGAAGGGAGAGAAGAGAGATTAGAGAGGTGGGAGGGGGAGGAGATGGGTATGGAGGCATTAAAAGAGAAGGGCAGGAAATGGGCATTAAAAGAGAAGGGCAGGAAATGGGGGAGGAAGTGGGTGGAGAAGGAGTGAGGGTTGGAGTGAGTGATGGAGGAGGAAGAGAGGGAGGAAAAGAGGGAACGGAGAGGGATGAACCGCAATGGTTAGGGGAAGGATGGAGCTGTGGAAGAATGAGGAGTTAAGGCAGGGGAAATAAGAGAGGAAGGAGCAAGGGAAGGAAGCAGGGAGGTTGTGAGAGGTAATAAGGAACCGGAAGACAGGGACAGAGGCAGGGTGTAGAGAGGGAGGGAGAGGATTTGAAGAGGGATGAATGGAGGGGAAAGCGGGAGAGAAACGGGAAGGGGAGGGAGGGAAAAAGTTTGAGGGGAGGGTGAGAGGGATAGGGAAGAGTGGGAGGGCAAAGACAGAGGAAGAGAGGGGGAAAAGAGGGAACGTGTGGAGAGAGGAATGAGAAAGAGGTGAGTATAAGGGAGGAAACAGTGTGACGGAGGGAGTAGAAGGACAGAGAGGGTGGAGCTGGGGGAGAGGGACAGACGGGGAGCATGGGCAGGGTATGGAGGAAAGAAATGTGAGGGCGGGTGAGGAGAGGAAGGTGAGGGCAGAAGAGGAGAGTGAAATAACAAGATGAAGGTGAAGGGAGGAAGGAAGGCTTGAGAGGGATAGCAGGAGATGGAGCTGAGGGCAGGCGAGGTGAGCACACAGGAAGAGTATGGTGAGTGTGGTGGGGGACAGGGAGGTGAGGGTTGGGATTTGAGTGAGTGAGTGAGGGGGAAAGGGAGGAGGAGAGGGAGGGAGGAAATAAGGAAGGGGGAAGATTGGCAGTAGAGAGGAGGACAACAAGAAGAGAGGGAAGGAGGTGAGGAGAGTGTGGGAGGGAACAGGACAGGGAGGAACAGCAAGGAATGGGAGGGAGTGGAGTGGAGGGGGAGAGACAGGGGAACGAGGACGGGAAGAAGTGGAAGCGACATTGGAGGGAGAGCACAGAGCGGAGGGAACTGAAATGGAGCACAGGAGAGGGGAGGAAGACCATGAAAGCAAGAGGGCAGCTGCTGGAGGAAGAAAGGAACTAGGGCACACAGATTTTGGGATGAACTCTGGGTGAGAGGTAGAGTGCAGAAAAAGAAAGGCTGAGTAAAGAGTTTTTTCACAAACAGTTCCATGCTCCAACCTGACCTCTGGGAAGGAAGCAACATGTCACTCAGGCGTGGGGAAGAAAGGAAAAATGGAAGGATGGAATGAAGGAAGGCAGAAAGGAAAGAAGGCAGGAAGAAAAGGAAGCATGAAGGAACGACGGAAGGAGGAAGGTAGTTAAGGATAGCGGGAGAAAGCAGAGGAAAGGAGGACAGGACAGGAAAGACAGGAGAGGGATGAGCGGGAATGGCCAGGGCAGGTGTTGGAGAAAGAAGGGACTTGGGGTGCCAAACTCTGAGGATAAAATCAGGGTGATAACTACCATGGCACTGGAGAGCATGAACAGAAAAATAAAGGCTCCTCTTTCAGCATCAGACCCGGGACGCAGCTGTACTCTGTGACAGATTTAATATTTAAGTCCTCCCAAAAAGGTTAGAAGAAAGGGAGGGAGGGAACAGAGTGTAAGGGTGAGATGGAGGTGTAGAAGGAGGGGAAGGGAGGGAGGAGGAAGGCAAATAGGCAAGGCCTAGGGCACCTGTTTAAGAAAGGAAGGAACTGGGGTGCCAGCGTTTCCTGATACACTCAGGCCCACAGCTAGTCTGATTTTTGGCCCTGGAATGGAAGAGTAAACAGTTCTTGAAGCATCAGCTCCAGACCTCAGCTTCTATCTCCTGGAAGCGAGGTAACATTTCCATCAGGGGAAGGGAAGGAAGGAAAAATTAATGGATGGAGGGAGCCAAGGGGCAGGGAGGGACAGTGAGAGTTTTGGGATAGAGGAGAGGCAACAAGGAAAGTGAGGACAGGGCAAGGAGGACAGGGTAGGGACAGGGGGGAGGGTAGAGTGCAGATGTTAGAGGAAGGATTCTTGGGGTGCCGAGCTCTGAGGATCAGCCCAGATGATAGCTACACTGACTATGAGGAGCATGCATGAAAAGGACAGCTTTCTGTTTCACATCATTTCCAGGATCCAGCTCTCCTGGATGGAAAGTAACACTTCAGTAGGTCAGAGAAGGACAGAAAAATGGAAGGGAGGCAGAGGAGTTTAGGGAAAGGGAAACGAACATGAATGGGAAGGAGGGTCTGACTGAGGGTGGAGGGGAGTGGGAGGGAATGGGAGGAGAGTGGAGGGAGTAGGCAGGCAAAGGACAGGCCACTATTTGGAGAAAGTACAGAACAGAGGTACCCAGCTTTGGGGATAAACTCAGGTGGCAGGTACCATGTATGGAAGAGTAAGGAACTCTTTGAGTATCAGCTCTAGGCTCCAACCTTTGATCTGGAAAGGAAGTAACTTCAGTCAGGGATAGGGAAAGAATGAAGGTAGAAATGGTTAGATGGAGTTAGAGTTGGAGAAGGAGGGATGTGATTGGAGGGTGATGGATGGAATAGATGGAGGAAGGGATGGCTGGAAGCATGCAGAGGCCATAGGGGGAGGGATTGGAGTGGGAGGACATGGTAGGGGGAAATGGAGGCAGGCATGGGACTGGGCACCTATTGGAGAAAGTAACCACTAGTGTGCCCTGCTATGGGAGTAGAATCAGTTTGACAGCTAACTTGACACTGAGACACTGAAGGATGGTCCCACTCTCTGAAGTTGCTTTTTTGGAATTCAGAAGCCCTTGAAGTTTGTTGTTTCTCTGAGTCTCGAGTGAATCTTCAGTAATTTGGTTGTTTCCCACACAGGAAGACATTTTAGACCCAGGGAAGTGAAAGCAACCCATGACGTAGAAAGTGAAATGTGTGTCTGCGAAAAAGGGGAAGAGGAAGGCACTTTCATTTCAAAGTGGCAATTTGTTTTCTTTGATGAGGGCAGACCATGTGTGCATGTTTTCAGTAGGAGCAGTTTGGACAAATGAGGGTGTGGGCAGAGCTTTGATTCTGGGTCTCTGGACCTGATAGCAGACGTCCTTGCTTGAGTAGCTTCCTCCCTCAGGAGGGGAACTCGAAGAAGCATTGTGTCTCTTTTCGCATTTACGGTACATGCCAGTGCTCTGACGAAAGGTCCAGGTTGCAAGGATCAGAAGATCTACCTATCCTCATGCTCAGCAGGTGAGCGGCTGTTGAGCCCTTTCATCCATAATTGAGATCGTTCTGGCAATGAAGGCAGTAGAACTCAGAGGCTTATGATGTGAATAAATGTAGCACTGAGGAGAACACTGCTTTAGCCCTACCCTGTAGGCAGGGACAGGATAACTCAACCTTCTTATTTCCCCAACTTATTTTCCCAGTTTAGTGGGAGCTGAGAAGGACCACAAAGGACTGCAGCTATGACCCAAGACCCTCTCTTATACCTGGTGGATTCTGAACTATAAGTCCCAAATGTACTCTTCAGGTAGTACCACAACGAAGCACGTATGGCTTCTTTAATGATGCATTTTGAATTGGTTTCATTCTGTAATTGCATTTATATTGCCTCATCTTTATCTTTTCATACTTCTAAATTTATGTGATTTCCAGTTTTCTGAGGGTCTGCTACTGTACATTCATTCCCATAGTGTACTCAAAAAAAACCAGCACAACTACTGCCAACTTGAGGGATGGGAGCACAGATCTCTCCCAAAGCTATTTAGACTATATAATGATGACAATTCTAGAGGGAAAATCACCGAGAGTACGCTTCATGCACTTCACTCTCTAATCACACCTGCTTCAACTGAAAGAGGAACCACAGTCATGGAAATCATACTGAGCCAAACATCCCAGACTTCTAACATGGTATGTATACTCAGCAATCACCAAGCTAAGCTGAGCAGCCTCAGTTCACGTACACGATTTAGGACCCTGGGAATTAATCTCAGCCAAAGATAGCACATCAATAGTCTGGGACAAATTCTCATGAGAGAGCTGCTCACTAGGAAGATCCTCCTATAAATGTGGGAAAAGGTACCATCCCAACAAATACGCAAACCTCAACTCAGAACACGAAAATACACAGAAAAAAACCACAACACTGTTCCTCCACAAGTTTTAGATTCCTAATAAGTTATAAGATCCTAAAGTGAAAGAGGGACTATGGTGCGGGAAAAGGGGAAAGGAAGGAAGGCAACAGTAAAGAGGTACAAGAGTGCTTTACTACTGGTTAGCTAATGGAAAGAAAGGTTTGTCTTAATACCATTTGGAGAATTTTTTATACCCACATCTTGTAATCTGAGTAAATTTTTTGAAGTTAACAATACACAATGTATTAACTGCTATTACTCTCTAAATATCATGATTTGAAATTTCCTTCTATCTTTAAAATAAAAGAGAAAAACGTTCATTGAAGTATATTTTGTAATTCTTAACAGACTTCTGTGTTCATTAGCACATATTTGCAGTCATTAGTACTTGCGTTTCATGTATGGAGTTCGTACTTGTACATGCAGTCTTGACAGAGGGCGGAATTTATTTTCAGAGTGGAAACAGGAAACAGGAAAACTGTGTGACCACTGGAGCAAAGCAGGTGAGGTGAAAATGTTGCTTGGTTTAGCCAAGAAGTAGGGGGTTGCAAGAGGTGTATGCAAGAAAAGTATTAGGAAAAGGCCAATGTTCCCATGGTCACCAAGGGCCTGGATGGCTGCAAAAGACAATAGACACTGGGAAGTGGGGAGGGCTAATGCACTGTGTAGTGGGGTCGCCATGGAGTGCTCATGTGTACCAGAGAGTTGAACACCTGAAGCTCAGAAAGGCTGCATGTCAGTTGGGACAAATGTATGTGTCCTGGCCTCTCTGTGTCCCTCTCCTCAGAGGTGTCAGTGTAGAGATTTGTGAAGTAGGGGTCTCCCCAGATTTCCCATTGGCTGACAGAGGCTGAGTGATGGAACAAAGGAAGGGTGGGGTTTCCACAACTGCAGCAGACCTCAGGAGAAGAAGCAGGAAGCTGGGCAGGGGAGAAAGGTCAGAAGGCTTAGCCATGAGTGAGGAAATCCATGAGATACAGGGAAATTGGGTGATCACTTGAGTAAAAACCCAGAAGCCCATGGTTAATCAGGAAGTGTCAGAAAACAGCTTGGAAAGGAAGAAGGAGCTAGAGAGCAAGGCTGACTCACAGCAAAAGGAACCAGAGAACATAAGAGGACTATTTTTTGTGCCTTTGGCTGGGTCTTCCTCTTGGTTGATCCTAGGTGTCTGCCCCTGATCTCTCGACTCTGGCCCCTGGCCCCTGGCCTCTGGCACCTTGCACCTCGCCCCTGACCCCTGGACCTCCTATCTTTTTGCACCCAATCCTTTCTCCTCCCAGGCCCCTTCTGCAGGGCAGGGAATGGGCAGAACAGGGCAAAGAAGCTTCCTCCATGCCCACACTAACTGCTCTCTCCTCTCCTCTCCTACCAGAGGCGGAAAGTCACCAAGGAAGTGCTATCAGTGCTGGAACAGAGTGCATAGGGACACCACAAGCACTCAGCACTGATGCTATATTACAGAAGAAAGAAGAGGATGGAAGAAGAAGACCAAGGTGAGGAGAAGCCCATGCTTCAGGGCCCGACTCCTGAGAGCCCAGTGGAGACCGCCAGACGAACAGGAGCCCTACCCTGCAGGACTCCCACAGCTGTGTGGATGAAGTCTCCAGGGGCTGTGGAGAAGAGTCCAGCAGTTGTGCAGAAGAAGACTGCAGGAGCTCTGCTGAAGACTCCAAAGAGCAGTCAGCTGAACAGTCAGGTCAACCATCAAGAGTCTAAATTTAGACAGTTAAGCACAGTGAAAATGCTAGAGGAGGATTCTGCATTTCTGCATGTTCCCTTTCGGGGATTGAATGGAAGGGAGGAGAGAGAAAAGGTGAAGGGAGAGCAGAGGAAAGGGAGGGCAAGGAGAGGGGAAGGAAGTGGAGGGGAAGAGGAGGGTATGGGGAGGGTGCTGAGGCAAAAGAAATGGAAGTGGGGAGGGGGAAGGAAGTGTATGGGGAAGACAGGGACGTGATAGGCAAGAGAAGGGAGAGGGACAGAGAACAGAGGGGAGAGATAGAGATTGGAGGGGAGAGATGAGAGGAGGATAGAGGAGAGGTAGTGGAACAAATAGGACAGGAGGGAGGGGTAGGAGATGGGGAGGGAGGGAGGAATAGAGATCTGCAAGAAGGGGGGAGGAAGAAGGTGAAAAACGAGTGAGGGTTGCAGTGAGGGTTAGTGTGAGTGATGGAAGAGGAAGAGAGGGAGGAAAAGAGGGAAAAGAGAGGGATCAACTGCAAGGGTTAGGAGAGGGTCGGAGCCCTGGGAGAATTAGGGGGTAAGAAGGGGGAAGTGAGGGAGGAAGGGGCAAGAGAAGGAAGCAGGGAAGTGGTGAGAGGTAATCATGAAGGTGAGGAGAGGGAGCGAGTGAGGGTGTGGAGAGGGAGGGAAAGGGTTTGAAGAGGGATGTACAGAGGGGAAAGAGGGAGAGAAAGCGGAAGGAGAGAGAGGGAAAAAGTTTGTGGGTAGGGAGAGAGGGATAGGGAAGAGAGGGAAGGCGAAGAGAGAGATGAAGACAGGGTGAAAATAGGGAATGTGTTAGAGAAGAATGAGAAGGAATTGAGTATAAGGGTGGAAACGGTGTGACAAAGGGAGTAGGAGGACAGAGACGGATGGAGCTGGAGGAGAGGGAGAGAGTGGAAGGAGGGGCAGCATATGTAGGAGAGAAATGTGATTGCAGGTGAGGAGAGGAAGTTCAGGCCAGAAGAGGAGAGTGATTTAAGCACATGAAGGTGAAGTGCGGAAGGAAGGCTTCAGGGAGACAGTAGGAGAGGGAGCTCAGGACAGGGGAGGTGAGCACACAGGAAGAGAGTAAGGTGAGTGTGGTGGAGAGGGAGGTGAGGATTAGGATTTGAGTGAGTGAGGGGGAAGAGGTGGAGGAGAGGGAGGGAGGAAATAAGGAAGGAGGAAGACTGACAGTAGAGAGGAGGGAAACGAAGAGAGGGAAGCAGGGGAGGAGAGGGTGGGAGGGAAAAGGACAGGGAAGAACAGCAAGGAAAGGAAGGGATGGGGAGGACAGGAAGGGAGGAAGGGGACCAGAGAAGGTAAGTCTGAGGAGAGGGGGAGGAGGTGTTGTTGTTTGGGGAGGTGAGGCAGAGAGGGAGGGAAAGGCTCTGGGGGAGCCCAAAGAGAAGTTTGAGAAACAAGAGAGAGAAAGTGTGAGGTCAAATAAGTTGCAGAGATGCGAAAGAAAGACAGGGTTGCACGGAAAGAAAAGGGAGGCATGCAAGGGAAAAGGCAGGTGTGGGTAAATGGAGGAACAAGGGTTGCCCAGCTTTATGGAGAATCTCAGGATGACTTGAGGTCATGAATGGAAGAGCAAATACTTCTCACTCGGAATCATCTCCAGGCTCAATCCAGTCTTCTGGAAAGAAAGTAATATTTCAATCTGGCAGGTAAGGCCATAAGGAAGGGAGGTGAAGTAGGGAAGTGGAGGGAAGAGGAAAAAGGGAAAGAGGAGAATGGGAAGAGGGTAAGGGAGAGGGGAGAGGGGAGAGAGGGAGGGAGGATAGTGACAGGTCATGGGAGAGCGGGAGGATGAAAGTTAGGGAAAAGGGGAAGCTTGGGAAGGGAGGACAAGGCAGACAGGACAGAGGAGGGAGGGCAGGGATGGGACAGGTCAGCGTTTGAAGAGAGGAGGTAGTAGGAGTGCCTAGCTCTGAGAATAAACTCAGGATGGCAGCTACCCTGGCACTGGAGACCATAAATGGAAAAGTAAATGGTTTACTTTTAACTTCATCTCCAGGATCCTGAGGTCTTCTTGAAAGGAAGTACCATTTGAGTAGAGCAGGGAATGACAGAAGGAAAAAAAGGTTGGGAGGGGAGTTGTGGGGTGAGAGAGAACAAGGGCGATGGGAAGGAAGGGAAGGGAGGGTGAGAAGGGGAGGGCAGAGTGGGATGGAAGTTAACTGGATGGCAAGGAACGGTTTGAGACCTGGGGCAAGGCAAGCAAGAGGGCAGCTCCTGGAGAAAGAAAGGAGGTGTGGTGCACAGCTTTGGGGAGAGACTCTGAGAGAGGTCTACGCTGATCCTGGAGAGCAGGAACGGATTAGTAAAGAGTTCTTTCAGCATCAGCTCCAGGCTCCAACTTGTTCTCTGATGAGGAACTAACATTTCACTAAGGGGTAGGACAGAAAGGAAAACAAGAAGGAAGTAAGTTTGGAAGGAAGAAGGAAGGAAGGAAGGACGGAAGGAAGGAAGGAAGGAAGGAAGGAAGGAAGGAAGGAAGGAAGGAAGAAAGGAAGTTTGGAAGGAAGGAAGGAAGGAAGGAAGGAAAGAAGGCCTGAAGGAACTTAAGGATGGAGGAAGGGAGGGGAGGAAGGGAAGGAAGCAAAATAAAGGAGGACAGGGCACTGGAGACAGGGAGGGAGTGGGGAAGGTATACAACAGGTGGTGGACAGGAGGGAATTGGTACGCAACACTGAGGATAAAATCAGGGTGATAACTCCCCTGACCCTGGAGAGCATGAAGTGTAAATTCATGGGTTCACTTTCAGCATCAGATCCAGGTAGCAGCTGTTCTCTGGAAAACAGGTAAAGTTTATGTCCTCCAGGAAAGGTTTGAAGGAAGGGAGGGAGTGGAGTGGAGGTGGAGAGGGAGGGGAAGGAGGATGAGAAGGAGGTGAAGCAAACGTGGACGGGGAGTACAGAGGGGGAGAGTAGGAAATTAAAGGACATGAGAGTGGAGGAGAACCATGCAAGCAACAGGGCAGCTGCTGGACAAAGAAAGGAACTGGGGTGCACAGATTTCAGTATTAAATCTGGGTGACAGGTAGGCGGTAGAAAAGGAACTGTGAATAAAGAGTGCTTTCTCGATCAGTTCCATGCTCCAACTGGACCTCTGGGAAGGAAACAATATTTCTCGCCAGGATAGGAACGAAAGGAAAAAAGGAAGGATGAAATGAAGGAAGGCAGGAAGGAAAGCAGGCATGAAAGAAGGATGGAAGGAGGGAAGGTAGTTAAGGATAGCTGGACAAAACAGAGGAAAGGAGGACAGGACAGGAAGGACAGGGGAGAGATGAGCGGGAATGCGCAGGGCAGGTTTTGGAAAGAGTCTTGGGGTGCCAAACTCTAAGGATAAAATCAGGGTGATGACTACCATGGCACTGGAGAGCATGCACAGAAAAGTAAAGGCTTTTCTTTCAGCATCAGACCCAGGATACAGCTGTCCTCTGTGACAGAATTAATATTTATTTTGGCCAAAAATGTTAGAAGATAGGGAGGGAGGGAGCAGAGTGTAGGTGGGAGATGCACAAGAAGGAGGAGGGGAAGGGAGGGAAGAGGAAGGGAAACAGGCAAGGCCCAGGGCACAGGTGTAGATAGGATGGAACTGGGGTGCCAGTGTTTCTTTATACACTCAGGGCTGCAGCTAGTCTGGCAGTTGGCCCTTGAATGGAAGAGTAAACAGTTCTTGAAGCATCACCTCCCAGGTTCAGGCTATCCCCTGGAAGAGAGGTCACATTTCCACCACGGGAAGAGAAAGAAGGAAAAATTAAGGGATGGAGGGAGCCAGGGGCCAGGGAGGGACTGTGAAAGTTTTGCGATAGAGGAGAGGCAGCAAGGAAAGTGAGGACAGGGGAAGGAGGACAGGGAAGGGACGGGAGAAAGGGGATAGTGCAGATGTTAGAGAAAGGAGTCTTAGGGTGCCCACCTCTGAGGATCCACTCAGGTGACAGCTACCTTGACAGTAGAGAGCAGGAATGGAAAAGTAAATGCTTCTGGTTTAGCATCATCTCCAGGATGCAGCTGTCTTCTGGAAAATAAGTAATAATTCAGTACTGCCTGGAAGGAATGAACGAAGGAAGGAAGGAAGGAAGGAAGAAAGGAAGGAAGGAAGGAAGGAAAGAAGGAAGGAAGGAAGAATGGAAGGGAGGGATGGAGAGAGGCAAGAAAGAGAAAAGGCAGCAGGGATGTTGGGGGGAAGGAGCAAGGAAAGCAAGGAAAGTGAATGCTGGGTAGGCAGCAGAGGTGAGGGATGGGAAAGAATGGACAGCAGGTGTTGGAGAAAGGAGGGACTTGTGGTGCCCAGCTCTGAGGATAAAATCAGGATGATAGCTACCCTGACACTGAAGACCATGAATGGAATAGTAACGGCTGCTTTGTTAGCATCATCTCCATGGTCCACCTCTCCTCTGGAAAATCAGTAACATTTGAGTATGGCATTGAAGGAGAAAAGAAAGGAAGGGAAGGAGGGGAGTTTAGGGAGAGGGAAAGGAAGGAGAATGCGTAAGAGGATCAGGATGAGGGTGGAAGAGAGTCGGATGTAATTGAAGGAGAGAGGATGGAGAAGCAGCCAGGCATAGGGCACGTATTGAAGTAAGGAAATAACCGAGGTGCCCAGATTTGGAGATAAACTCAGATGACAGCTAGCCTGACACAGGAGAGCATTAATGGAAAAGTAAAGGCTTCCATTTTAGCATCAATTCCAGGAATCAGCAGTCCTCTGGAAAGGAAGTAAGATATCATATGGCTATGAAGGAAGTAAGTAATGGAGAAAGAGGGGACAATGGTGGGAGAAAGAGGGAGCTGAATAAGAATAGGAGGAACACTATGGGAGATGGGTAGGAAAGGGAGTGGTAGAGCAGGGGAGAGCAGG